CACATGTAGAGTAAAAGCATACTAGAGTGAAGCACGGTACCACAAAGTGAAAGAGTGAAGTTAAGTACACCCAAGTGAAAGATTGGGTGAAACCAGGTGGAAAAGTAGACACAACGCATACACATGTACAATAGAGGTATACTAGAGTAAAGCACAGTACCACAAAGTGAAAGATTGAGTGAATCCAAGTGAAAATCTAGACAAAACATATGTACAAATAGAGTAGAGACATATTGGAGTGAAGCGAAGTATACCCAAGTAAAACGCCAAGTGAAAAATTAGATGAAACATTTGCATAAGGAGAGTAAAAGCATATTAGAGTGACACCACGTACACTAAGTAAAAGAAACTCGTGTGAAGAGATAACTAACTACTTTATCCAACTACGGAACGTCAACATAGAGGGAGGGAGGAATAAAAAAAAAAAAGAAAAAAAAAAAAGAAGAAGAAGCAGGAGAAGAAAAAAACTAAGAAGTAAAAGAAGTATAAGAAAAAAATGGAACATACCTCTTTCATTCCTACTTACCTCTTCTTGTCTTTTTATTATGTGATGACGACCGAATGAACAATTTTTTTTTAGCGGAGGAAATGAGAGAGCTTTATTAGGTGATGACGATTGAATGAACTCTTTGTAGAGGGATTTTTCTTGTAATATTCATGGTGTCTCCTCTTTTCTATAAGTCATCCTCTCTTCTCACTCTTAACAAGATCCTTCCTTTGTCCTTCTTTGACCATGGCAACCTCCTAGTTATGAAGTTCTTCCCTCTATGATGGTTATGGGGACTCTCTCTACCCCATTGTTTTTCTTTACAGCATGAGGGATCTGGCGAAACACCTCTCTAGGCCAGCCACTTCTCCCAGCTACTAGTTTACCCTCCTCTGCGGCCTAAAGACTCCTCTCTAGCTCCCAACTGCCACAATTCCCCTCCTCTCACTCCGGTTGAGCTTAAAGCTCTCCTTGGTGCACTTGAGCAGCATTTAGTTACCTCATGCAAATGTGAGTGAGGTTGGCTGCCCCCTTGGCTTAAGCAGGTTGAACGCACCACATCGGCAAGCCTTTGGGCCTCTCCCATGTGTCACAGGTGAGTTGAGGTGCTCCCAAGGTCTTCCCTCATGGTCCTTTTCGGAAGCTCCTAGGCCTCATTTTGGCAAAGTTCATTCAGTCCGAGTGGGAGGTACGATCTCAGGTCGGACAACCTTAATGAGAATCAAAGGTTTTACTTTTATCTGTAAACATTGTCTGTTACATCCGGATGATCAAGAAACAACCTTAACTGAAAAGGAAAGCTTTTTTTAGTCTTTTTCTTATTTTTCTTCAGGTCAGACTCAAATTTGAGTAGGTGAGGTACATTTTGTACCGCGGTGCATTATTGACCTTAGATCTAACCACATCCTAAGGCTATATGTACTCCAAACTAGATCCAAATGATCATAACTTTAAGTTAGAGCCCTAAGGGCTATTTATTTTACATTAAAGTGTATTTGGTCCAAGTTTTTCGTCAAATGCATTGTTTTGTCATGTTTCTATTTTTGTTTTTTTCCCTTACGGGATGCCAACTCATTCTGGAGTAGGCCATTTCAAGTTACATCACCAAAACATACGTAGTGAACAACACTATGAATCTCCAATAACACTAATTTTGACGTGGGGATTTTTCAACATTTTTGATGTTTTCTGAAGTCGAGTTTCAGTGATTTCAAAAGAACTGAAAATGTTGAATGCCCCTACATTAAATAAATTTTTATTTGGGGTTTGCGCCCTTGTTTGGGTGTATAGAAACACAAGAGATTCTAAAGTGATGAATATGCTTAAAATTTTGAAGTACACCCCTCCTAAATATTGAAAATTCTATATATTATGAAGTGTTGAAAACACTAAAGATTATGACCTCCCCCCCGCCCCTTCCCCCCTCCCCCTCCCCCCCCGCGTTCTCCTATTTTATTTCTTTAAGGGAGCGGGGTTCGAAATCTTCAGCGTTTTCACCACTTAAGAATTTTCAAAATCTTCAACATTATTACCGCTTAAGAATTTTCAGAATCTTCACTGTTCACCCCCCTGTCTTAGAGTGTAAAAACTCTAAAGATTATGAAAATTCTGAAGTGGTAAATATGTTGACAATTATGAAGTACAACCTCCTCTGTCCGATTTTGTAGGAACTCGTTAGATTCTGAAAATTTCGAAGTGGTGAAAACTTTTTTTTTTTTCATTAAGGGGAAAGGGTTCATAACTTTTCACTTTTTCACCACTTCATAATTTTCAGAATCTTCAGCGTTCACCCTCCAATCTTAGTGTGAAGAAATGCTGAAGATTTTAAAGTGGTGAAGTTATTTAAAACTATGAAGTACAATCCCTTTTGTCCAAATGTGTATGAATTCTAAAGATTCTGAAAATTTCGGAGTGGTGAAAACATTGAAGATGTTGACCCCTCCTCGTTTCCCCCTGTTTTTTTTTTTAAGGGGGGAAGGGTGTATAATTTTTAATGTTTTCACCAATTTAGAATTTTTAGAATCTGCATCGTTCACCCCTCTGTCTTAGTATGTAGAAACACTAAAGATTATGTTGATTCTCATGCGGTGAAGACGCTGAAAATGCTGAAATACACCCCTCCTGTCCGAGTATGTAGAAACTTTGAAGATTCTGAAAATTATGAAGTGGTGAAAATGTTGAAGATTACGAATCATTCCTCCTCCCTGCCCCCTGTCCGAGTGTTTGTGTGTAACTGCGTATGAACGTTGAATGTTTAGAATCTAACACTGGATATTAGTAAACGTGTCAACCTTCTTTCCACGTCGTTGTTTTTTTTTCCTTTTTTAATTCATATTTTATCGAGATATTGCCTCAAGGGTTTTATTTTTTCACTTTAGATTTACCCTCACTAGATCCAAAGTGAATATGTCAGCGTACGGATATGACAGTCTCTACTTTATTATTCCTTACACAATGGTCAACTCACGTCACCGTTTTCTCCGGTTTTGTTTCATTCTCTGACTTTTTTTTTCCCTTTTTCTTTTCTTTTGAGACCAAGTTGATCTAGCTCTAGATCAAGATCATCCTTGCAACCTGAGATATCTCGAACTGCAATAATGGCACCCCCTCATCCAGGGAGGGGCCCATTTTGCTTCTGCTAGTCTGAAACAGTGCCCCCTCTTGCTTCGATTTATCCTCAGTAGATCATTTATTAAGCAGAGTCACTCAAGTCTCTATTTTTTCTTATTTAGTTAGTCTGAGATACTTTCGACCATCACCTTGTCATGTTTCCTTCCTTTTTTGTCCTCCCTTCTCTTGGAAACTCTCCCTTTTAACTCCACTAGTGCTTGAACTAGTGGTGCTAACATTTTCGACCTTAGGATCTTGATCTGAAGGTGATCTCTCTTTGGTTCATTCCTTTTGATGGGATACCTCAAGTCCCTGTTGTTTTTTCATACTAGTCTCAATCTATAAAAAAAAAATATCTTTATTTGGGTCCGCCTCGTCCCCGACATCTCATCCTTCAAGGTCCCAATTTTATTTGGGACTACCTCGTCCTTGGCAACCCCATTATCCCACCTCCTTATGTATCACTAGTGTGACGGATATTTTCGCC